TATTTGTGAAGTTGATACAGAATATTTATCAACAAGGTCTTGGTAACTTCCGATGGACTTTTTTAGAAAAAGGATGAGACGTTCTGTGACATACCCCTGGTTCATCAACTTTCTGCTCAGACACTGGTGACGTTTTATCTGCAAGCTCTTGAATACCGAATAAGTGAGGAAATGTAAACTCATATGCACGGGAAGTTTGTATATTAAGCTACTAAGGTGAGGCAAATTGATAACTTCAAAATTAAAATCGTCTTGTTTGTCATAGATTCTGGTACTGAGATGACCTTGTATGTCAAATTCGAGGTACAAGTCTAAAAATGAGGCGGAGGAAGCCGTGTCTGTTGTTTCTTGAATTTCTAGTTCAGGGGGATATATTAATGGAACCCAATCAGAAAAGTTTGGATTGGTAATAGAAAGAACATCATCAATATATCTGAATGTGAAATTAAATGACCTGGCTTCTTTGATCTTCTTGTTTTTGACAAGTGTCTGTAGGAATTCTGATTCATATGAAAATAAGGAGAGGTCGGCAAGGAGAGGCGCACAGTTTGTTCCCTTAGGAATGTCGACAATTTGTTGAAAAAGTCTATCTCCAAATTCAACAAATATGTTGTCAATAAGAAACTCCAGCATACTTATCACTTGTTCCTCTGTGTAGCATGTTTTACCTTTTTCTTCACTATTAACAACATATGCCGTATGGTATCCCAAAGTAATAAATTTAAAGCGTATGCTACTAATTTTCTGTTGAAAAGCATTGTGGATTATTTCTTTTGGACGATTTTTCAATTTCACACGGGGAATGGTGGTATACAGGGTTGAAAAATAAAACGTTTTGATAGAACTAATTTCAGAAAAAGATCGAGATTTAAAATTATCCAGAAGTTCTTTAGAGTTTTTTTAGAATCCACATATGGTTAATACTACTACGCAGTAAACAGTTTCACAGTATTTCTGAAGACCCTCTTTCACTGCGGACAGAGTCGTTGTCAATCTAATGGACAATTCTTTAGTCGAACATTCAAAAGCCTACAATGTACCGTTGTTTGTACGGAATGTTGTGAAATTTAGGTATCCAATAACACGGTAAGTCCTCCGATTTGTTGTTCAATGCAATGCTAATTAAAGTCATAAAGCCAAAATCTCATCCTTGTCAAATGAAATGTTTTTTTATGTGGGATAACCTGAGTGCTCATTTATTCCTAATTCTTTTACAAGACACTCGTAGTAGTACGATTTACATACAAAGACATTATTATTTGAAGCTTTGTCCGAACAACATGGAAAAACAACATACTTATCATGAAGAGATGATCAACATTTCACCGCCTCCTTGTCTCTGAATACGGACTTTGGTCGATCATTCACACAGTTTTTTCAACTTATGAATGCGACGTTTTATCAGAGACCTGATTGTAATGCATAGAGTTATATATAGGAAGAGACTGTAAAAAATGGGGAACGAAACAACGTAAACAATGATGTTTATATCTCATCATATAAAAATATTTCTGATGCGTTTGATAACCTTTCTATTTGCATTCTAATAAAAACAAACTTTCCTTTTTTTATCATGATAGCTGCGAGTGTATTTGTCGATCAATGAATGTGAAATTTTATAGCCATTATTTAATGTATAAACAATAAAAGAATTTAAAATGAAAAAAGAAACTTTTAATGTGTATAATATGTATACAGAGTCACCAACGAGTAAAGTAATTTGCTATACTGAGAAAAAAGAACAATATTGATTATTGTTTACATAATAAAAGCTCAGCTCTAAAATGAAAAGTCACAGTACTCTGTTATAAGCAGACCTGTGCTGAGGTTTGGTCAGTAGCAGACCTGTCTAGAGGTCTGGAGTTGACCAGTTCTCAGTTCTTGTCTAGGGCAGACCTGTCCCCAGGACTGGTCAATAGCAGACTTGTCCACAAGTCTGGTCTGGAGCAGATTTGTCAATAGGTCTGCAGCAGTCCTAAAAAGCAGACCTCGGTCAGGTCTACCAACGTCGAAGTTAACTTGCCTGTCTGCTTAAAATTTCTCTTATCTTGGAAAGCAATCAAAAAGTCTGCTCCAAGTTAACTTTTGTGCAGGTTAGGACTGCATCCATCTGTATTGGTGTAATGATCGATTAACCGAAATGTTCGACTATTAATTTGTCAACTTATATTTTTAAAAAACAAGGTCAAAGGGAATGGGATTATTTGATGAATACAACGATGTTCCTTGTTTGGGGGTTGAATGGGGACTTCTTTTGTTATATTGAATTAATACTAGTATAAATTGTTTAAATTGATTTATAAAATGTAAAATCACAAAAAAAAATGAACTCCGAGGAAATTTCAAAAAGGAAAGTCCCCAATCAAATGGCAAAATCAACAACAGCTTTTGCCACTAAATGACATCTGATGACATACAAGAAGAATTATATATGTCAACACACGACCTTCAAAAATACATGAATCTAATTTTTTTATTCTATTTAAAGAAATTGATAGAAGATATAAAAATTTTCCTAAAAAATAAAGACTCGAAAAATTAATAGTTGTGGGCTTTGCATTCGTGTTAACGAATAAGGGAACGAAGGGTTAAACACTTGAACGAATGAGTTCAGAAGGAAATTAGACCACATAAATGATTTGCAGATAAAGTTGTACACAATATGAGCTTCAATATGAATTATTGTCTGAAAACCATGTTTGATACAAAATGAAGGTTTACTCATCACTATCTAGTCCACCCTACGATATAAAGCCTTAAGTTTCATCCAAAAACATGCATAGCGTACCAATTAACGTTTAAAAATCCTGAAATTGTTAAATTGTCTATCGGGGTTTTGTTATGGAACTAATTCACGATTCAAATTAAATTGTGTTAATTGGTAAATATATTTTGTTGTTCTTAATCTTCAAAACCCATGTTAAACATGTAATAATATGTCATTGTTGAGATTCTGTTTTAAAAGAGTAGAGAAACAAATAAATGAATAAAGTAATAAATAAATTGAATTATATATAATTATACAAAAAAATAAATCAAATTATATATAATTATACAAGTAAATAGATCAATAACTTAAGTTAAATAAGCCTCTAATTTTATTACTTTGTATATTTAATAATCACCTTCAACTATTAACATTACACAATTATTGATCGAAATTAAGACAAATTGATAAACAAATTTTCGGACTAAACGTGAATACAGTTTAAACACGATTGTAAATTGTGAATATGAATAAGTTATTGTTCAAGCATGATCACCTGTACTACGACGCAGACAGTTACGGGTTATTTTTATCACCAGTAATGCTGGAGATCAAGACCCTGACGAGTGTTAAGAAATAAACAACACTTACCGAAGACCAGAAAAAAACGAACAAGCCGAAATCAAAGCTCCACGCCACAAAATACTGAAAGAAGAAGTTCAATAGTTTAACATATCTGGCCTACTCAGCAACGAATCTATCTACAATATTCCATAACTTGCATTTCCTATCATGATTTCATTGATCGAGGGTGGCTGATTTCATGGCAGCTATTGAACCAAAATATTCCAAATTGTGAAGTTGGAACCATACCTTCGAAAAATGTCGACGCCATCACGAGTTGGGTTGACCGCTATGGAAAATCTGTTTCACAGTGGAGGATGGATATGTTCGAGTTGCTGTAACCATAATCCCTTCCCTCTTTCTTCGTATTTGACCTACCGAATTAAACTTGTCACCGGTTTTGTGTTACATGAGCAACACGACGAGTGCCACATGTGGAGCAGGATCTGCTTACCCTTCCGGAGCACTTTTGATCATCGCTAGTTTTCGATTTATTCGTGTTACTCAGTCTTCTATGTTGTGTTGTATGTGCTGGTGTTTGTCTCTTTGTCGTTTTTCTTGTTTTGTCATGTCATTGTTAGTTTGTTTTCGAATTATGAGTGTGAATGTCCCTTTGGTCTCTTTCGTTTCTATTTAACATACATAAAATATTATGTATGATCATATAGTTTTGTTGTTTTAGTTTTTGTTAACGGCAGTTTTCAAATCTTTACATACCTCTGTGAATAGATTGTGAAAATATTCGATAACACTTTGGTACAAGAAATTATTCATCATCAATGTAAATATTTTTCATATATGAATGACACAACAAACATATATAAATACAACAAACACATTTGTAGTAAATGAGCTGTAGACTGCTGTCTTTCAAAGCCATCATCGAAACAATTTATAATGAGATATCCTGTTTTGATATGAATTCTAAAGGTACATATAAACTTCCAAACTGTATCATTATATCCAGAAAACAAGGTAGTGGAAATTTCATTTAGAAAATTAAAGTTTAATATTGTCTCTTTAGAAAGAAACAGTTCATATAACTGGAAAATTCGATGCGTAAGTATAGACTTATAATATTGTTCATAGAACAAAATGAAATACAAAGTTTTATCATTAAACCAAAAACATATGTCGTATACACTTTGAACTTTACAATTATCCTCAAACATAATACACAGTGGAACAGGTAATATTATAAACTAAAATATAGTGTTTGAAAGTATATGGTTAAAAATAATGTCATAGTTACTTTTGTAAAGTATTTTGCTTCGGATTTTTGCAATGAAAATACTTTTATCAACTTCTATCATTGATCATGCACTAATCATTAATTTCAAATTATTTCAAAAGTATGAGAATCTTAAGAGAGAGCTTCTGTTTCTGTTCTTTAATTTCGACCGACCGTGCTATTACGTAATCATGATTATGATATGATGTATAACATGGAAAGATAATTTTTCATATTTGTGCTACATATCAACATTTTTGTAAACTGAATTTTGGAAACCAAATAACCTTCATCATGTTCGTAAACACTATCACATCCATATTATGTTGCTAAATGTAAGACTTGTTGTTTTGTTAACCTGTTTTGCTGATCATTACAACAAAGTATTGCACGTTTTCTTATAATAAATTTCACTCGATTGTGATCAATAGTGATCGAGATGTAAAATTTAGGAACATAAACAAGTTATGTCAGAAAGAGCACGAGTTCCGTATTAAGAGACAGGAAGTTATTTTCAAGAATATGAAGGAAAAACTTGATGTAAAAAACCTTCTGCAGGTGGAATCAGTAAGTATATTTTAATAACTCTATCTATCTATCTATCTATCTATCTATCTATCTATCTATCTATCTATCTATCTATCTATCTATCTATCTATCTATCTATCTATCTATCTATCTATCTATCTATCTATCTATCTATCTATCTATCTATCTGCTAGTATCTATCTATCAACTCTATCTATCTATCTATCTATCCATCCATCCAACCGTCCATCCATCCATTCATCCATCCATCCATCCATCCATCCATCCATCCATCCATCCATCCATCTATCTATCTATCTATCTATCTATCTATCTATCTATCTATCTATCTATCTATCTATCTATCTATTTCTCTCTCTCTCTATATATATATATATATATATATATACATATATATATCTATCTATCTATCTATCTATCTATCTATCTATCTATCTATCTATCTATCTATCTATCTATCTATCATCTGATAGATCGATTTTACTATGTGTAACTACACTTAGACAGACATACATATATATATGAATTTACATTGATTGTATGCTTCTAATAATAGAATAGCATCCTGTAATGATACTGAAAAAGTGAGAAGATGATTATTCCTGTACACGTAAAAATAATTCGTGTTTTGTGTTAGATGCTTTGTTTACTTCCTACGAGAAGGTAACACCTCCTAAAACGACAGCTGATTTTCTATCAGCTATAGTTAGAGAAGAGGATAAGGCGTCTGCGCAATGCTAAGCGGTGTTGACGTCGAAGTGAGAAGTTAAGAAGTAATGTTCAAGCCCCATTTGGGGAGAAAGTAATCAATCAGATCTACTCTAACAGTGTTAGAATGATATCCTAGGCACTTTATAAATATCTATCTATCTATCTATCTATCTATCTATCTGCAAGACGAGTTGAATACGGAATGGCCAATCAACGAGCGACAATTCCTTATCTGATACCTCTGTAATTGTCTTACTTTAAGTTTCCGCCGTAAAGAGATAGACCATTTTGTTTTACAAGTCGGCACTCTTGTGATCTTTATTCGTATAACGAAGATTTCATATAGGAGTTCACAAGAAAAGCGACGACCTGTCACTGATTAGTGTATATTATACTGATCGCATCATGAAATGTGGATAGAAATAAAGCAAAAACATATAGAGATAGAGAATCCTAAATTTGGGTCCATGTTGGTCTTCACCTTCGTACTTTATTTTGCCTTTTTAACGTATATTGATTCGACCGTCCCTGATGAGTCTTTTGTAGACAAAACGCACGTCTGGCGTGCACTATTTTAATCCTGGTAACTATGTTGAGGTTGTGATGAAATTGAGACAACTGTTTGATCAAAGTCCTTAACTTACACCTAAGGAGATGATATTAGTATTATGTATGCCAGCAACATTCCTGCAATACCTGTATATAAAATGTATATCCCAAGTTGTAACAGGTCTTGCTTTTCTTTTTTTAATTTGTACAAAGTGTTTTAAGAAATTGAGAATAGAAATGGGGAATGTGTCAAAGAGACAACAACCCGACCAAAGAGCATAAAACAGCCGAAGATCACCAATGGGTCTTCAACAGAGCGAGAAAATCCCGCACCCGGAGGCGGGCGTCGCCTGGCCCTTAAACAGAAATGTGTACTAGGTCAGTGAAAATGAAAAACTCCAAACCATGTAAATGAACTAAAAATAAAAATCGTACAAGACTTATAAAGGACAGATGCTCCTGACTTGGGACAGGAGCAAAAATGCGGCGGGGTTAAACATGAGATCTCAACCCTTCCCCTATACCTCTAGACAATGTAGAAAAAACAAACACACAGCAATAGGCATAGTTAAACTGAGTTTAAAAGAGGTCCGAGTCCGATGTCAGAACTTTTAACAAAAGAAACTAAGCAAAATGACAATGATACATAGATTAACACAGGGCTACTAGCAGGTACTGACATACCAGCTCCAGACCTCAATTAAACTGATTGAAAGATTTGGTCTTCATCATATGAAAATCAAGCACAATCCCTCTCGTAATGGGTTTAGTATTATACTATCATAAAATATATGAGAAGAATAGTTGTCATCTGTATAGTGTTTCGCGGGCTGTTTTGTTTTCCATTCGGTCGTCTCTGCACTACGGGGTTATCTGTTGTATTGTTTTGACTGCCCTTCTCATAATACAGTGGTACGGACCATACAGTACATCAACTGTTAGAACCTCTCAAGGAGTTCATAACTTTGAAAGGAAGTATATATTTAACGTACATACCAAGTTTAGATCACTTCACTCTCATATTGTATCGCAGTCGGTGAAATAATGAGAAAAACACACAATGGACATAATTGTAAGAAAAAAACATAAAGTAAATTAAAAAAAAAAAATGTGCCTCATCATGTTGGTATAAAAGATAACAATACATAAGTACACGTCAAAAAAACGTAATAACGTCATTTCAATTATCAGTCAGTGATAAAAATGTATTCACTGTTTAAGGGCCATGGCTGTAGCATAATCTGCCTTCCATAGTGTGTCAAATAAATGTAATGTTATATAGAGTAATTTTGTAGGGATATAAAGTAGAGAGAAAACAAATCATCATTCAAAGCTACAATGAATGTTGTGTCTCGTATTCCTTAACTAACGTTGCATAGTCTTCATATTGTTATAATGTAGAGTCTTTATACATGCTTTATAGTATACGTTTTAGCTTTAGATATATATATATATATATAAGAAAAATAATATAAGATAATGACGGTTTCAATTCATCATTGTAAAAGTGATGAATTGAAACCGTCATTATCTTATATTATTTTTCTTATATGTTACCAGCATACGGATTCTATTTGACTTTTCTTTCTATGTATATATATATATATATATATATATATATCGTTGGCTATTATGCAGACATTTTATATATATATGTCTTGTACAAGTTGCGCTTTTGTACACGTTGAAACATGTACAAAAATGTTGTACATGTTATAACTTGTACAATGCAAAAATACAAGTTGTAACATGTACAAAAGTACCTCATACATGTTATAACATGTACAAAATATTGATTAAAATGGTTTTAACTTGTACATACTTTAACAATAAAGATATATATTTTTATTATTACAACACATGTGATTAACCTCAGTAATATTTTCATCATTTTCTTTTATTGTTCATTCATGTTACTGTGTTTTGTCCTTTTAAAAACAGTTAATGACTAGATGTATAGTTTTTATTATTACTTAAGGATGAACTTAGGTGAAATTACGAAAATCTAGAATTAAAAATTGATACTATAGGTCAAAAGAACATTAGCTAAGGAACAAAATAAGCTAAACATATTGATAGGTTATGGAGCTCCTTTTCGAGATATTTGATTTTTAAAAAATAGCGGGAACAGGCTGACTATGACTTTTTCCTTATATTTGCATTGGTATTATTTGGGTCTCAAATCGAAAGAAAAGAATTCAAGAATCTGCTTAAATTTTGGTAAATGACCTTTTATGAGCTATTGAAGTCTTATACAAGAAGAAAAATGGGTGTTCTGGGGCAAAATATTTTACCCTGTTTTGATAGAAAAACACCATGGAGTCTGAACATCTGACACAAGTTTCTAAACCTCATCTAAGTACATCCTTAATACCTTTTAAAACACACATGTAGCCAACAAACATTATTCAGTATTCTCACCTGATGAATTATAATAATTGTTACTTTCCACTCAGAAGTCAATAGTAAAATACTTTCATCCTAGTTGAGACTTAAGATGTAATTGGATAGCCAGGATAGATGTTACAACAAAATCCTTGATATGTTGAGGAAAAATTCCTTTGCAAACAATACCCTGTTTTCAAAGGAGAGGATAGAAATTTAATACATCAAAATGACATTCGACTCATGCAATGATCTTATTAATTATCAAAAATTAATAATAATCTAATGCATAAGATTTACATCAGTTATGCCCAAGGCCAAAAATGCTGATAGAGCAGATTAAATAATTCCAAAGTTATTTATAATTAAGCATGGTCCAATGAAAACCATATTCTCTCTCTGGTTTTTATAGAGGGTATTCATAGGAGACCTTGCTTTAATTTTCGCATGTTTAAAAAAGAGGAAGAGGGGTATAATTCAACATTTTAAGGCATTTTTTGAAAAATTTCAGATGAACCTGAGTTAACGACTTTGTTGCCATTAGGGAAATGTATGCATTTATTAAACAGGGTCACACTGCTGTAGAGCCATGTTGAACTACATAAAACATACAATGACCCGAAAACCCATTATGGCAACATTGGCCGTGAAGTAATAAAACATTTATGAAACTTTGTGACCACTGTGCTCTAAAGAAAAAGACATTCTGAACTTTTGATTATTGTTCTTTATTGTTCAATCAATTTCAAATGTATATCCTGCTGTATTTAAATGTATTCTCAAATTTTGTACAAGTTAAAACAATTTTTAAGTTATATTTTGTGCATGTTATAACATGTACGAGGTGCTTTTGTACATGTTATAACTTGTATTTTTGCATTGTACGTTTTATAACATGTACAATATTTCTGTACATATTATAACATGTACAAAAACACAACTTGTACACGATATATATATGTTAAAAATCATTTAAACACACAGACCCCAAATATTGCAATTATTGGATCTGGTGGCGGAATGCGTGCTGTTATTGGAATGTGTGGCGCAATGACTGCACTGGAAGATGAAGGAATTCTGGATTCTGCAATGTACACCGCTGGATTATCTGGATCTGCTTGGTGGGTGTGCAATTATATTTGTTCGATATTTGGAGCATTATAAAGATAAGAAGATGTGGTATGATTACCAACTATCAACCAAAGCTCACATAAGCAAGTTTAAGTAACCGTACGACCTTTAACAGTGAGAAAAACCAACAATGTATAGTCGGCTACTAAAGGCCTCGACATGAAAAATTTAAAAATAATTCAATTAAGAAAACTAACAGCCAAATTTATAACAAAAACAATTACGAATTCCAAATATGACAGACATTAAAGAACAACAACCACTACACTACACGCTCCTGATTTTGAACAGACACATTAAGAATGTTGGCGGGATTAAACTACTCTTGCTAAATATGTAAAAAAAAGGCACCATGTATTGATAATTGATAAGGTACAGACCTTCTCATATTCATTCAGTAAATTCTTTCCATATTCTAATTGTATATAAAAAGTATGTGTATAGAAGTAACACGACGTTTTTTATATTTTGAGCATGACATTCTTAACATTCCGGAGCACCTATGATCACCCCTATTTTTTTTTAGAAAGATTCGTTTTACTCAGTCTTTAGTTTCTCTTCAGTGCTTTGTAGACTGTTGTTTGTCGTCTTTTTGTTATCGTTCTTTTTTTGCCCATAATTTTGTCAATATTTTTTCGACTCCTTTAAACCAATTCAGAAACACAAATCAAGGTAACAAACAAAAACAAATGGAATTTTTCAAACTTCAAAAGAAGCAAGACAAGATGTGTTCATTGGATAAACGTCTCTTACTTTGCATACATCATCCGCCATGCAATTCCACACTCAGTTAACAATCGGGAATAGACACCATCTGTACAATTACAGTTCAGACGAATAAATATTGGTCTTCAAAGATCGAAGACCGTCAACAAATATACTAAGTGAGTTGAGACACCGACACATCGTATCGGTCAACCAATTCGTGATGCTGACCGTAAACATTATATTGTCGATTTATTTCAAAGTCATTGAGCTGTCTTTGATCCCCAGTGAAACGTATTTATATGAAAAAGTAAAATAACAAAAATTCAACTTAAAATTGATATTCGTTTTTAAACATTTATGAATAGGTATAATTTGTAAAAATATGCATATTTTAATTAGGTACCTACTGACATTGTATGCATATGATAAACAGCTGAAACCAAAAGCCGTTACTGATTTTATTCGACAGAAACTTGCACCTTTCAAAACAATAGAATTGCGGAAGGCATGGTATAGTTGGAGGTTTTATACAAAAGGCAAGGCGTTTAATACTGGAGAGTATTTTACGATCACAGATACATTTGGAGAACTTATTGGTCAATTGCTTCTTGATAAGGTAGGATAACGCATTTTTTTTTGTTTACACAACACACGTATCATATAAAGCTATAATGTTTCTTGTTAGTTATTATGTGTGCGTACAATTAACACAGCCATAACAGAACCATCAAGAGGGATACATGTGGTCTTACAACTTTAAAAGTGACGACACAGTTTAAAGCTTTAGGATAAAAAGAATAAATATGTCCAGCTATTAAATGCATATATTTACTCCTTTTTTGATTAAAAGTGCGTATCAGTGCCGTTTTATTGTATTGGAGATGATCAAAGAATCTTTGTGGTTGATTGAGTAAAAAGTAAAATCACAAAAATACCGAACTTCTAGGGAAATTCAAAACGAAAAGTCCTTTATAAAAAGGCAAAATCAGAAGCTCAATACACATCTAATACTAGTAGCAAGAATTCAGTCTGAAATGGTGATTTTGGTCTGATCCAGTCTTAATCGACCGAATTTACCGCCAGAGAAACACATACAGATTTTTATTAGGCTTTCAGACGTCGTTCCGATCGATAGTCCAATCAGGTAATTCAGTCCGTCCAGGCATATCAAGAACAAGAAGGAATGTTCTAGCGAGCGATAAAGATCTGTTATGACGATTTCAGACAAAATCAGACAAAACCTAAAAAATAAATTTCAAATTTGTCAGATCGTGTTTAGATCCTTTAAGTATTCTAGTATGATACTACGATGTACGCCCCTTCTGCTTGATGTTACATTTTGAATTTCAAAATATATGCTAGAACTAAAATCCTTAACTTTCGAATAGTTAAAGAAAGAAAATCATGTGTTGATGATTTATTAAGGTTATTTTTTTGTTGAGGAATTCATAAATTATTCGTCTATAAATGTTGCTGATTTTATATTTCTAATTACTGTTAGTTTTTTTTTTTATTAAGGTCTTTCCTTTCACTATAAGGAAAGACATTACTGTATTTCTTCTTCTGATTATTATTATTATTATTATTCTTTCCGCCAAACTTTAACGACGTTTCCAAAAAAAAGTACGCGACATGTTGAAATGATATTAGGTATCAAGTATCGGTTGACCAAAAGCTATCTTGTGGTTAGGCCGTAACATTTCCTCTATAGCGGTTATCTTCCCTTACACTGAAAACCTTGTTATCATTCAAACACCGTAACCATAATAGGTAGAACAAAACCGAAGGATGGAATTTGTTCAGGACCAGACCCTAGTTCTTCGTTATATTTGGATCGAAAAGATTCAACGACTCATTGGTAGGGTAATGCCCCTTTGAAAATTAACCGATGTCGGTTGGCCACTAAAACTCAGAAACCGTAAGTCGTAGCTACCTAAGATCTTCACCAATAATCATCAATTTATGTGACAATGAAAATGCCTCAACGTCAAAGGTCAAGGTCATGACCTAGATGTTGACCTTAGCTTGTTATCGGTTTGGAAGGATGGAATTTGTTCAGGACCAGACCCTAGTTCTTCGTTATATTTGGATCGAAAAGATTCAACGACTCATTGGTAGGGTTATGCCCCTTTGAAAATTAACCGATGTCGGTTGGCCACTAAAACTCAGAAACCGTAAGTCGTAGCTACCTAAGATCTTCACCAATAATCATCAATTTATGTGACAATGAAAATGCCTCAACGTCAAAGGTCAAGGTCATGACCTAGATGTTGACCTTAGCTTGTTATCGGTTTTACTCAATAACCGTAAAAGATAGCTAAGAAAATGTGTGACTTAACAAGATCTACATTTCAAATTTATTTGAACTATTATGGACCTAGGACACCAACACTCTTTTTTGGGGTCCAAAATGAAGATGTTTTGCTTATAACTCAAACAAGGTTAGAGATAGACAGAAACCTTGAACTGCAAAAATGTTCAGCATAATATGATCTACAAAGTTAGGTCAAGGTCAGATGTCACGGTCAACGACATAAAAACGTAAGCAATCATATATTTTTGGACTTAGAAGGCTATGAATAATACAAATATGACATTTTTGTCCCTAGCAACGACATATAAGTCCTTAGCAACCACTTATTTTTTTAACTTTAAAGGCTATGAATAGTATATATGACATTTTCAATACTGGAAGTAATATTTCTATCCTTAGCAATGATTTTTGTCTTAGCAACCACTTTTTATGAACATAAAAGTCCTTAGCAACCATATGTTTTTGAACTAAGAAGGCTATCAATAAAAGGAAAGAGGAAAGACCTTACAATTGTTCATGAACAATTGACTTTTAATTTATCTATGTATTTATTGTATATCGGCGAATAAAAGTTTACCATTGTATGCTGAAACCTGCATATCATGATACAGAATTTTTTATGCATAATTACTGAGGGTTATAAAAGATACCGTATTACAACAGATTTGCAATTAACGACAATTGCGTGTATTGGAGAAATCGTTTTTCTATGTCATCTTTACTTACAAAACATGTGTATGGTAATTGATTTTCGTCTTTGTAAAAAAGTAACTGGAACTTTTAAGCTTAACAATATAAAAATAAGGAGATGTGGTATGATTGTCAATGAGTGAACTATCCGCTATATTTCTAGTTAAGTGGACGTAAGCAGTTCAATTAACACATATTAAGTAAGTCTTATGTCAGATGCTTCAATTCGTTATCTGTCGATACTTTCCTCGTAAATAAGATATTTACTTTGGAACATTTCATGAATTTGTTTCTTTCGTGCGGGTAACTTTGTAAAACTTGGACCAGTTTCTATATTCTTAGATTGAATTGCACAATATATTTCTAAACAATAATTTACTTCTCACAGTGGTGCAACTAAACGCCACATAGGCCACCTAAGTGTGTTAAGCTTCTGAAACTGAATTAAGCCCATGATGAGACAGTATTAAAATTTGAAATACATAACAATCGTATAGATTTTTTCATTAAAACAATATATTCTAATTTTATTTTCAATACCCATAATAGTTTTAGTGTAAACAAGGATTTATATAGTAAGATAAAACGATAACCCACGAGATTCCAATCCTTCTTACAATACCAATCCTTTGCGTAATTTAATATGTTCCGTTTTGAAAAATTAGATCAATGGCATGTGCTGGTAATCAGCCGGGTCAACAGGTGAAAAAATCAATGATCCATAACGCATGCAAGAAAATTGTCAATTACATGACCATTTTACAAATACACCTATCATAGTAACATAGCTCAGTATGTGTATTTTAAGGTTCAAACAATATAATGATGACTTATATATAAACACTACAAATGAGAGAGTTAAACCTATACCTTAGGATATTGCAAAACTGAAATTTTAAGTAGTCATTAAAAAGAATGGAGAATAGCTGTTTTAAGTCCAAACCCAAAATTCCGGAAGAAACAGTAAATTTTTTATATCTTGTCTTTCGGAAACTTATATCTTTTTGTGTATAGTTATGTCCTTCGATACAAGTTTTTTACAAAAACATGTACAGTTCGGAAGTTTGTTTCATATTACTTCAGCAGAAATTTAGATTTCCTAAAATCTTTTTTTTTATATTTTTATTCTTTTTTATTTATTTATCTATTTATTTATTTATTTGTTTATTTATTTTGTTTACTTAATTATTTATCTATTCATTTAATCATTCACTTATTTATTTATTGTCTGTCAGGATGCACTTGATCTTCGCTAGCCAAGGCTTATAAACCAGTCCCCTCCTATCCACAGGCTAGCGAAGGCTGGACAAAACTCAGAAAAGTCAAGGATTTGTATAGTAACATCTTATGCCTAGGTCACACATTCGTGGATTTGACGCCAGATTCGCTTCGGGTACCATCCGGCATCATTCGTGCAATCTGTATTGGTCCGTAGATTTCCATATTGTAGCCGTAGTCATACGTAGTAGTATTTGTATATCCGTGACAATTTTTGAACATGCGCAAAATTTGACTACGTATCAAACTACCGTAGTTTATCCTTACTAAACCGTTTAAGAACATACTTATCCGTTTTAGTCCCTATTAGAACCGTATTAATCCGTACTTATTCGTAGTCCCGAAGGATTTCTACGGCTAGTTCCGGAAAACTACGTACTAATACGGTTACACCACGTATTTGTTAAGTATACAACATTTGTACAATACGATTTGTAACGAAATTATAACGGGACGGCACGATTTCATTACGTTGCATTATGGATAAGTACCGATCAGCCAGGGTTCTCAAAGTCTTTTACGGTGTACTACGTTACAACACGACAAAATACGGAATATTTCGATCCACGTAAACTGACATCAGGCTTTTGTACAAATACTCCCTACTTATAGGGCGCAACGTAGTCTGTGTCTTGCCGTAGAGGTATACATAATATTATCAAACATGAACAATCAACAACTGATGCTTGCAATTAATTGGCTGGAATTGAATATTGATATGGCACAAAATTAGGGCAGTGGTCGAGTTACTTGATGACAGACGTAGAGGTGACCGGCTAGGTACAGACTTCTCCGAAGACCTATCCATGGCCAATATGAGGCCCTCATGGCTGAACTTTGTGCGAAAAATCCAGCTGCATTTAAGAACTTTGAAAGAATAGACACAAATATGTTTCAAGAACTTCTATATGAGGTTTACAAAGAACACCACCTGGTACAGACATTCAATCGATACTTGGCTACGGGGGACAGCTACCGAACACTGATGTATGGTTTCCGGGTAGCGCACATCACCTTCTGTGGTATGACGTCTAGGAGGCCATAGTTTCACGGTATGCCAAAGATATCATTCAGACTCCTACTGAGCCTGGACAGTGGAAGGCTATAGCTGAACAGATTACAGCAAAATGGCAGTTCCCCTATATGAGGTGTGCTCTAGATGGCAAAAATGTAGCCATACGGTGTCCTTAGAACGGAGTATCCCTATACTACAGCTATAATGGACAGCACTCAGTAGTGTTGAAGCCCTTGTCGACGGCGATTACAAATTCCGATGAGTAGATATATGTGTGCAATGTGCATGTTTTGACGCTCAGTCATGGAACCAGAGTGACCTGGAGAAGGATATTGAAAGGGGCTTAATCGGTGTGCCATCACAATCTCTTTTCCTGTAGACGACAAACCAACGGGCTATTATATCATCGTGGACGACGCATTTGGGATGAAAACCTGGTTCATGAAGCCTTTCTCCAGACGGGGTCTTGCCAATGACGAGAGGATTTTCAACTACCGCTAATCAAGAGCCAGAAGTGTTGGATGGAATGCCTTAAGTATTCTTGCAAATAGATTCAGATGTTTGCATTCAGTCATGAACCAAAAATCAATCAGATAAAATTGAGAATGGAAATGGGGAATGTGTCAAAGAGACAACGACCCGACCATAGAGCAGACAACAGCCGAAGGCCACCAATGGGTCTTCAATGCAGCGAGAAACTCCCGCACCCGGAGGCGTCCTTCAGCTGGCAAATATGTATACTAGTTCAGTAATAATGGACGTCATACTTAACTCCAAATTATACACAGGAAACTAAAATTTAAAATGATACAAGACTAACAAAGGCCAGAGGCTCCTGACTTGGGACAGGCGCAAACATGCGGCGGGGTTAAACATGCTTTTTGAGATCTCAACCCTCCCCCTTTACCTCTAGCCAATGTAGAAAAAAACAAACGCACAACAGTACGCACAGTAAAACTCAGTATAAGAGAAGTCCGAGTCCGATGTCAGAATAGGGAACAAAATGACAATTATACATAAATAACAACAGACTACTAGCAGTTACTGACATGACAGCTCCAGACCTCAATTAAACTGATTGAAAGATTATGTCTTCATCATATGAATATCAGGCACAATCCCTCCTGTTAAGGGTTTAGTATTATGCCGTCATAAAATATATGAGAAGAACATAACCCGTATCATGCCAACAACTGGTTTTAGAATTCGAATAAATGTGTTTAATTCCGATGCAAAGACCCTATAAGTGAATCAATATTAAAGCCAAAATATGCAATCTTTAATGACCTGACAACAGTATCTATATCCCTTCTTAATAAGTCTGTTTAAAGGTTTTGTTAGCTTTTGAGGTGAATACTGACATTTTTGTGCTTTGTATAGAATATTACCATAAAAAATTGGATGTGAAATACCCGAACGTATGAGATGTCTGCACGTTGAGTTATATTTACGAATGATGACCTTGTACCGATGATAAAATTTAGTAAATGTTTTGACTAGTTTATGATATCGAAAACCCTGGTGTAATAATTTTTCAGTAATACATAAATTTCTCTCGCTAAAATCTAATACGTTGTTACATACACGAGCGAATCGTACAAGTTGAGATATATAAACACCATAAGATGGTGACAAGGGAACGTCACCATCTAAAAATGGATAATTGACGATAGGAAATGAAAAATCATCTCTTTTATCATAAATTTTTGTATTAAGCTTCCCGTTAATGATATAAATATCAAGATAGAGGAAAGGACAGTGGTCATTGTTAGTATTAGCTTTATTTAAAGTAAGTTCAACAGGATAAATTTCTTTAGTATACATACTGAAGTCGTCATTATTGAGAGCCAATATATCATCCAAATATCTAAAAGTATTGTTAAATTTTTGTATCAGATGTTGTTTCGATGGGTCTTTGCTGATTTTAGTCATAAATTGTAACTCATAACAATACAAAAACAGGTCTGCAATAAGTGGTGCACAGTTAGTCCCCATTGGAATTCCGATAACTTGACGATATACGGAATCTCCAAAGCGAACAAAAATGTTATCAAGTAAAAATTCAAGGGCAGATATAGTATCAAAGCATGTCCAATTGACATAGTTCTTTTGTTTGTGGCTACTAAAAAATGACCTAAAAGAGTTTGAACATATGTATTCGCATTCTGACTTTTCAAATGCCCATTTAATTAGGTGTGTGAAATTTTTCTTAATAAGAATATGAGGCAAAGTGGTATATAGGGTAGAAAAATCAAATTTTGAACAAATTCAAAATCACCAATATATGCATGTAATTTATCAAGTACTTCCAATGAGTTTTTGACACTCCAAAAGTAATTAATTCCACTATTTTCAAAGGCCTTATTTGAACAATTTATTATCAGGTTTTTGATTGTATCAAATGTACTAGTAAGTAGAATAGACAATTTAGTAGTGGAACAATGACTTGAAGACGAAATAAATCTATATTTGTAAGGTGATTTGTGTAGCTTCGGAAGCCAGTACATAGTTGGGACTTTCATTGTATTTGGTTCTGCTTGTAAAGGAGTAGCTAATAGTTTATGTTTGTTACAGATATCGTTTTCTGAAAATGAAGTCATTTGGAATGTTGGTGAATTCGTGATTTCTTTTTGCAGATCCTCAATGTAAAATTTACGTCAAACTATAATGATATTATTAGCAGCTTTATCAGCCGGGACAAAAACAAATTCCTTGGCTAGTTCTTTTAGTTTATGTTTGATACGAGAAATAGGATTTTTATGGTTGTTGTTCAGAGTAAAATTTTCTGTAAAATGTTGTATACGTATATCAACTATCTTCATTACCAAATTAAAAAAAGAGTCCAAAGATTTTTTGTCAGCTTTTTCCCGTTTTATCAATTTCAAACAGTAAGCACGAAGTGAGTCGTGGATGATATTACGACACTCATTCCAATTAATAATTGACGGGGGGCGATATTTAGATCCTTTATTGAGGAATGATTTTAACTCTCGGTCGCGAACGACCGAGAGTTAAAATTGCACGTCATTGTTCTGGCCTGTGTTTGCTTTTACAACATCATGAGGGTCAGATATACTGGTGATCAGAACCCTCATGGACCAAGAGGACCACGACAACCAAGTCATTCTCAGAGCCTAGAGAGATGGTGTCAACATGGACGATGTGGTTAACCCTAGGGGCGGTAACTCGGACACCTTCGACGCAAAACAGCACCGGATATACCTAAAACATAATGTAATTTCTCCTGTAAGGTTTGTGTCATGGCAGAATAAAATGGTAAAACAGATCGTTCTTTAGAACTGTCGAGCTTTGTTGGATATTATCAAATATTACCTTGTGGGCATTGTGTTGTTACCTATTGCTATTTACATGTGCCTCATTGCTGAAGATAATTATTTTTTTGGAATATGCACCATATAACACACACACATTAAATCTATAGCTTTAATTAAGTACCAAACAAGTACTATAATCATGATAATGTCAATCTTTTGCAGTCATTTTTATGATCTTTAATAAAATGCGAAAATATTAAATAAATAATTTAATGAAACAAGACAAAAAATCATCGATTCACTGCCATATAGAAATGATGAATTACAAGCTTAATTAGAAATGATTAACATCTTAGAAAATGTGGCGGTTCGTACTATTCCATATAAGACCGTTCTCATTCGTACTAACCTTTACTTATACCGTAGCAAACTACTGGTTATCCGTAGTACATACGCCCCGACCCATGTCGTTGCGTTTTAACCGTGTCATTTCAGTATTAAACCGTGTCGTACCGTATGAATCCGTATCACTCATTCGCCAAATGACCCTTTTCCTACATCTCCCTTGGTAGATACATCAAAAAGTAAATAACAAAAATACCGAACTTCGAGGAAAATTCAAAACCGAAAGTCTCTAATCAAATGACAAAATCAAAAGCTCAAATATATCAAACGAATGGATAATAACTGTCATAATTCTGACTTGGTACAGACATTTTCTTACGTAGAAAATGGTGGATTAAACCTTGTTTTATAGCTAGCTGAACCTCTCACTTGTATGACAGTCGCATAAAATTCCATTTTATTGACAACAATGTGTGAACAAAACAAACAGACATATTAGGTAAAATTTAAAAAAAAAAAAAAAAAAAATCTACCTGTGCGAATTTCAAAACGCGCGATTTTACGCCAGTACTTAAACCTTCCATCCTTTATGGATAGATTTTACATAGATAAATAAAATCGTATAATATAAGCTAAATGAGGATGTTAAATTTGATGTATGCCTTTTTGTGCATCTTCGTTACATTTGTTTGTTTTTATAGTGATTAAGATGTTAACACAATGTTGACTGCTGTAACCCTTTTTTTGACATTTTTACCTATTGTGTCTTTTGTTTTGTTCACGCATCGTTGTCAATATAATGCAATTTGATGCAACTGTCATACAAGTGAGAGGTTTAGCTAGCTATAAAACCAGGTTCAATCCACCATTTTCTACATAAGAAAATGCCTGTACAAAGTCAGGAATATGACAGTTGTTATCCATTCGTTTGATGTGTTTGAACTTTTGATTTTGCCATTTGATTGGGGACTTTCCTTATTGAATTTTCCTCGGAGTTCAGTATTTTTGTGATTTTACTTTTTAAAGTTAAAACGTTCATGATTTTTTATGTATTTGAGTGGATGGTTTGTGTAATTAATTCGATTTTTTTTTTTTTTTTTAATAACATTATTAGCTGCACCATTATTGTTTTATTTCTGTTTTGAATATTTTACAAAAATTATTTTTTTTTAAATCATAGATATAATATGATTTGTAGATGGAAAAAAATATTACTGTCAAAAAATATCATAGTATGCTTCATCATTTATCTGATATCCAACTATAAGATTTTCCATATGTAGAATGTTTTTTAACTGAAACATAAGAAATGAATTAGGTCTAAGATTTTTGATATAAAAGCAGTATTGTAGCTGCATTATAAACATAAGTATTCATAGTCTTCTTTTATGTTACAATGATTACATTTATTATCTTACAGTATTCTCCATTTTACTAGTTATTCATTGCATGGTAGAAAAATGAAGTGAATTAATTCCAATTAAACATTTTCATTTTATTTTCAGGTAAGTAGTTAAAAAGAAAAAGAAAACAATTGTCTAGTGATTTTGTTTTCTTTTTGGCAACCAATTTTCCATAAGTTTCTCATATAACATTATATTCATTATCGTTTATTTTTGTTTTCAACCATAAGAAGTGTAAACAGAAATGGAGTAATCAGAGAAAAAAATTAGCAGACGGTTCCGCTCCTTTGCCACTGATAGCCGTTTTGCATTGTCGTGACAAGGAAACAATTGCACAGTACAATGGTATGTTCAATACGTATCGTATTCATATTCAAAAGAAAGATTGTTATATGTACCACGAACATACCAAAATATACTATAAATACACTGATATTAACCTTCAGTAAAAGGGGGACGAAAGATACCAGAGGGACAGTCAAACTCATAGATCGAAAACAAACTGACAACGTCATGGCCAAAAATAAAAAGACAAACAGACAAATAATAGTACAGATGACACAACATAGTGCATAACTTGCATGCGAGCAGAATAAGTGTGTTGACTCTAAATTTAAATACCCAAATCCACTCACTTTAAAAGCAGACGTTGTTTAGGGTTCGATCTGATCGGTTGATTTATTTTGGAGTACACTTCCATTAAAAAGAAATACTACATAATCCCAATATTAATCATAAAAGATAATAGTGTATTAGCTATCGTTTTAATATTATTAAGATTAATAAGTATAACTTTTTCGGAATTTTGGGATGTTATTGCTCTATATCTTTGCATTTGGACGGGCCTTTTAACAGATTTGAGCGCCACTGATAAGTCTGATGGCGTATCGAACTATAATCCTAGTAAATTTTATCAATTTTATTTATTATACTTCCCAATTCAGCTTTACACATCTTCAAGTATCAAACAATCATAATTTTATCATTAATTCATAACAAAACACTCATATTGTAGAATGGATTGAATTGTCACCTTATGAGGTCTTTATGCCCAGATACGGAGTTGCTATTGACATGAAGAATTTTGGCAGTAGGTTTTACGGAGGTTTTATTACAAAGGAAAACGAAGAACAACCGATTCATTTTTTACAAGGTAGCAGCTACTATGTATAATAATATTGGTGACTGTTTTGAAGTTTGGGCAATCTAACTACAACGAATGATATATCAATCAAAGTGAATAGTCATTGATACCGACAAACTTTATACACACATTTTGGCAATCCATACTCAAAGGATACCAAATGCGATAAACCTAATATATGCTGACGCTGCAAACAACAAATGCTTTAGCTTTATTATTAGTTAGATGCGCTACAGACAAAACAAAATTGAAAACATATCGTTGTATGATAGTACAAACCAGGAACAACCTAAACGCAGACCGAACAGAGAGAATCCTCTTTTTTAGTATTTTGTTTTTCATTTTTGATATGATTTTCTGTGTTTGTTTTTCTACTTAGTTATATAATGTTCAACTACGTAAAGTGTATTACGTATTGAATTAACAAGACTGTTAAGCCAGAACTACATAATGGGTTATTATCGTATCAATGTAAATGGATTTGGGAACGATTTGAAACGTAATTCCATGTTTCTTGGGTTGAAAATATCTCAAACCGACATACTTTTCTTACAACAAACATACAGTATTTGAATCCTATGCAACTGAATGGAAACGGGAATGGGATTGAGATATTTATTTGTCGATGGGGGAAACTAAATCTAGAGGTGTTGCTGTTTTGTTTAACAGCTCAACAGACTAGGAATTAAAGGAAAAAAATAGCAGATGAAAACGGAAGGTATCTCATTTTAACTGTTGAAATTGATAACACAATTTTTGTTTTTGTAAATTATTTTGCGCTCCAAAAAAATTTGAAAAAAGAGCAAATTGATTACATCGGAAAAATCAAGATTTGATTAAACAGAAAGTTAGATCAAATTCTTATTTTGGGCGGAGATTTTAAAACGATACTATATCCATCTTTCAACAAAATTGGTGGTTCAAAACATAAAACACCTGTCAAAAATATAAGTAAATTAGACGATATTATATAAGAATTTGAGTTATGTGATATTTGGAGGACAAACATTTTGATTCTAAATCATACACTTGGCATAAAAAAACCTCTTATACATTGTCGCATAGATTTCTGGTTGATATCGAATTTCATGTCAAACAATATAAACAAAACATCCATTGTTCCATCTATAAAAACTGAGCATAGTCTTATTAAATTGACACTCCGGCGAAAACTTAAGTGAGAGGGCCCGGTTTCTGGAAATGCAACTTGGGCTTACTGACAGATAAAGATTATGTGGAATAAATTAAAAATAATTTATCACAATTTAGAAAAATAAAAACTTTAAATGGGATACCATAAAAAGTGAAATAAGAGGCTCAACAGTCAAATATTCCAAGTATAAAAACATAAAATTACGGGAAAGAGAGTGCAATTAAAAAAAAAACCCGACAAAACGGATTTCAGGAAACTCTCTCACGTACATATTTAGATAAAGATATTAAGACACTTTTGATCAAATTGGACTTTGTAAGGGAGGATTTAGATCAAATAGAAAACAATAAAACAAAGAGGTCGATTATACAATTACATGCCAAGCACTGAGAGTGAATAAAAGGAATTTCAAATATTTCTTGTCATTAGAAAACCGCAATTATAAGGATCAATGTTTCAACAAATTAGTTGTGAAAGTCATTGATAGTATGTCACAAGAAAAAAACACTAGACGAAGAGAGAAATTTCGATGAAAAACTATACTCATAAAAAAAAATAACCTGATAGATATTCTGGTGATTCTATTTTTTTTTTTACTGGAATTTAATCATAAGCTTACAGATGTGGAAAAAGATATTTGCGATGCAGATATTTCAGAATCTGAGTGCGTTAAAGATTTTGATATCATTTAAAAAAAATAAAAGATCTGGTACAGACGGGCTTCCTGCTGAGTTTTACACATTGTCTGATGACATAAAAATTATGTTTTAGAAAGCAATTTTCTTCGAGATTGGCATCCTCCCAATAGACCAAAGACGGGGTATTCTAACTCTTATCCCAAAGAAAGAAAAAGACAGAACGCTCTTGTCGAGCTGGCGTCCTCTTTCTCTTTAACTTTGATCAGAAATTATTAGCCAAGTTGTTGCAGAAAGAATGAACTTATTTTTTCCAAAACTTATAGATCCGGATCAGACGGAAAATGTGGCTGGTAGATGCATTGATTTAAACCTACGACTTATTGCTGGTATTATATTGTCTACTATTTTAAAGAATTATTCGTGTCTTATATTACTAGTCGATTTCGAAAAGACGTTTGATACGCTAGAACGAAAATTTATTCAAAAAGTATTGGTTTGTTTTAATATTGGCAACAAGTTCAGGAAATGTGTCTTTACTTTATACTCAAATATCTCTAGTCTTGTCGTTAATAAGTTTTATTTCTATTCTGTTCATAATTGAGAGAGATGTTCGACTAGAGTGTCCTTTCTCATCTATTCTATTTATTTTGGCCGTGGAACCGCTGGCAATAAGTATTCGTCAGAACAATCATATATCTGGTATTAACATTTGGGACATTGAAATAAATTTTCACAGTTAGCTGATGATACCACCACATGATTTCTGAAAGAAATATTTTCTGCCCAAGTTTTATTGGATTTTTGTTAACGATTTTGAGAAGGGTTCTTGGTTAAAAGCTATTTTTTCTAAAACCGAAAGCAACATGGTTTTGAAGAAATAAATTTAACAAGGAAGGTTCCCTTCCTATTAAATGGACAGATGGTTTTAAAACCTTAGGTTTGAAACTTAATGCTTTTGAAGAAATGGTAAGTTCTATTTAAAATACATTCATAGCAAAAATGGAATCAATAAGATTGTAATTCTTAAATAACTTGCAATATCTAAGCTAATTTATGTCATTTCATCTACTCATGTACCAAAATCTCATGTAATTAGAATACAACGTGATAATAACAGTTTCTATGGAATGGTGTACTCCGAAAATTAAATCGGAAGTTATCCAAAAGCCTCCAAAAGGGAAGGATTGAAAGCCAACAATTTTAATTACAGCTGTTATCCTTTCGTTTGGTGTGTTTGAGCTTTTGATTTTGCCATTTGATTAGGGACTTTCCGTTTTGAATTTTCCTCGGTATTTTTGTGATTTTATTTTTTTCGTATTAGGTGGGTAAAAAGATTTCAAATTTGACAGTACGAGTATTTTTGACAGAACGTTGTACATGAAAGGCATAAGGTTCATCGATGATATTGTAGATGACAATGGCTATTTTTTGTCTCATGACGCTATTAACCAACAATATAACATAAATGTCACTTTTGTAGACATTCAATTTATCAAACTTGCTATACCACGTGACTGGAAAGATTTTGTTTATGCAGCAACACAGGTCACCAACTGCAACTCATTTGGATTCGTTTTTTGAGCATGAGAATAAAACAATGCGCATCAGTAATTTTTTTCTAAAGATGTTTATTCACTTTTTATCGATCATGGAAATGTTTCTCCTATTTCACGACAAAGGTGAAAAGAACGTTTTAAAACAGAAATTAGTGATGAAAAATGGAAAACAATATTTATCCACTGGCTTTTAAATGTACGATAGAAAGCAAATTACAAGCTTACTAATGCAACATTTTATACATGGAGGGGGGTGGTGGTATAACATTTTTTAAACATTTATTTTGAACATGAAAAAAGAATTTTTAATGAAGTATTCTTAAGATAGTATCATAGTCTGTATATTCACATCGTAGACTTGTAAATTTTTACTATTTCTTAGTCGCATAATAACAATTATAACAATGTCATTAATTTTATTCACCTATGTCTTGTAATAATTTTTGTATGAACAGTAGTTTGAACACCAAAAAGATCTATAAAAATAATAAATAAACCTAAACAAAGCCTTAAAATATAAGATCATCTTTGCTTCAGGTTGCTACAAAAAATAATCGTTAAACGCGAGAACTGATGGTCAAAAACAATCATATTAACGGATATATACATAGAGTAATTATATGTATATATAGTGTCTAAAAATAGCAACAATCAACATTTAATATATCTAGGCGTGGATCAGTTAAGAAATAAACTGATGCAGAAATTAAATTCAATATCACACTTCATAATCACCGGTAATTTTATACAAAAGGTAGAAACTGCTCAATCATGAGACACCTCTTAAGAACAGGACATACTTTTGAAAGTATCACTTTTTAAATAATAGAGGTAAACCAGAATTAAAACATCCAAAGTAGAAAACAGAGAGAGAGAGAGATTTTGGATGCATCAGATACGTACTCTTGAACCTGAAGAACTGAATGAGAGGGATAAAAAACATTTTTATCTTGAACTTCATAAAATTTAACTAACACAATTATTTGTTTTGAATCTATCAATCGCAATGTACAATAAGCTGCAAAATATTTATAGGACATGTACAATAATCTACAAAAATTTCTTACCAGCATCCGGTTTGATCTGGATGGCTGCACGCGCCTGATGAAGCTACTTTATATAGCGAAATATTGCGTGAATATATAAAATATAACATCTCATTCGTGTGTTAAAGTTACATTCTTAGGTATTTATATATAATTATCTTAGACGTGTTTCGAGATTAACGTTCATCATCTATGATCATAAGCGATAACCGTTGTATAAACACGGAAATACGTGCTTTCTAGATGCAACGTCATTTATTTGACCGTCATCATTTCCAGACTTGAAATTTTAAACACAAAACATGTAGTGAATTAGGTATCGAATAATAACTATAACAATTTTGAAAATAGGAAAAAAAAAGGCAATAATGAACACCAATCGGCGCTTAAAAATGAAACTGACTTTTGAAGTAGTATCAATCAGTTAATGTTTATAGATAAACCGAGTACATTAAGTATTTGCACCAAAACATTGTCTGCATCATTACATGTTATCATTTATTTCATCTAGGAATGTGCGGTAGTGGATATGCAATTGTAAGAAATTTAAAACCACAAGGTAATTTCACATACGCCTTTAGATAACTCTTGTTCTCTGAAGATAGCGGAAAATTAGTAATCCAAGGTATAGAGATTAAATGAAAACCAAAAGCACACACAAAGATGAAAATAGCCCCCCCTCCCCCCCCCCCCCCCCCCCCCCACAAAAATAAAAGAAAATGACTAAATTTTCAGAAACAACACACTTACAATTTACTATGACAATATAAAGGGAGAACCAAAACAAACAACAAAGACACATTTAATGTCCAACTGAAAAAGATGAACGACAAACAATATTTAAAAATCATTACACAAGAGAACTTAAAACTGATTAACACAAACCTTACTTGAAAGTGCAGTGTGCGTGTCATCATTTTCTGCACTCACTTGATTTTAATTTTTTTACCTGTTGATGGAAATAAAAAAAAACAATACAAGCTCATAAATAATACTAATATCAAACGCAACATGAAGCCCTAAACAGTAAAAAATGAACAGAGGTCCTAAGAAAGTATAAGCATTTAATGATTCACAAGTTTTGATAAAAGATGACTACGCCAATGAACAGTACATCATAGTCATTAGTTGCAACATACACTTCTTTAAACTCAATAAAATGTTGAAGCAATTCAAACAGATGAGTTCAGGTTTACCGTTATAAACCGTTTGTTCAAAAACTTTTTGGTGCTTTGCATTTTCGCACATCTCTATAGGCTAAGACGACTGATATGGCCAACATGTCGAAACATCAATTCCGTAACGTTTTCGTAGTTTGGGAATTTTATTTGACATCTTGGAAATCGAAGTTAATTCATATTCATGTTAATATGTTTTATTGTAGAAGATTCCCGGTTTAATATGTCGAGGTATGTTATAATAAGGAGATACATATTGCATTAGTTTTAGATCACATTCATCTCACACCAAACAGCAAGCTACAAAGGACCCCATACTGACTAATATAAAACAATTCAGACAGGAAAACCAACGTTCTAATCTATTTTAAAAACGAGCACAAACACTAAACAACAGGCTCTTGACTTTGGACATGTGCATAAAATGTAGCGGATTTAAATGTTTCAACAGGCGCAAACCTTTACTCTAACCTGGGACAGTAGTGTAACAGTACAACATAAAATAGACACACTATAAAATATCAGTTGAAATGGCTAACCTCGATCAAAAAGACATTTCAAGAACAAGTAAACATACACTGAACGTATAAGTTTGATCTACAACAAAATATAAATACAATATTAAAACGTAGGTGACTATATAAAAAGACGTTACAGGTAGTAATAAAACAGATGTTGGAAGACAAATCTTACCTGGTATAAAATGATATTAATTTTTCAGAAAACTAACATCTATTTCCCCAAATTATACCAAAAATCAGGCGTTCAAAAATTCACGTATATTTATTACGTCAGAAATACATCATTAATGACGTGATTGGTCAATAATCTTTTATAACTGAAACTATTGGACAATTTAACATATGTTTTGATATACTTTTCACAATTTTATTGCAGTTAAGAAGAATCAGTTTTTAGGGCCAACATTATGAGTTGGTGACCCAACTCATTGATAAACGATAATTTTGTTGGTACGGAAGTACACATTTAAAAAAATCAATAAAAGAAATCGAAGTAACTGAAAGCTTTGACAAGTACTCTGGATGCTTTGACAAGTATTCGTTGGAGAAAACAAATCTTAGTTTAATTCAGATTAATGTAAAATTTACATATGCACGCATTTACATCACTTTTTATTTTTTATTCCTTCATTGGTTTTCTTACTATTAGGACGAATAATTGATTAAAATGTAATTTTTTACAGAACAATTAAACCTCTGTTCAAAAACTTCGATTCTACATTTGTTGGAAAAGTGCCGAATTGGCTACATGGCATCTCTAAGTTTAGACTACTGGTTGATGGCATAGGTGAGAGAAATCTTAATAAAAAGTAAACAAACTCATAATGAAACATTCACAATAAATAAAAATTATCCTTTTTTTTCCAATAGAAAAAGAAATATCTGTTCAACTGACAACTCAAAAACAAATGACTTAAGTATTTAACAGCCAAAAAATTACAGATATGCATTAAGTCATTTTGATACTATTTTACATATTTATTACGTCAATTAACCTTTTATTAAAAGTATTAAAACATATTATCTGAGTACAACTAATATTGTTTAATTGTGTGCTTGCAATTTATATATGACTGTTGTTTACTAAAGTCACTATTACGCCTAGACAGTAAAGAGATCCAAGCAATTCCGTGGTTTGAGAAAAAAGTGCATCGATGTAAAGTTTCTGATGTTTCGAAATATCATATGTCAAATGAACTCTTTTGGAGTGGGGAAAATCAAAAAGCAGTCTATATTAAAAACATTGAAATTACCGAATGAGACTTCACACGGCATCGCAAAGTCGTACAAGATTGCCACTTTCAAATTATACATCAGTCGATTACATATTCATTTTTTAACCCACGAATAAGTAACAAAACCCTACTGACTACACCGTCTCATTAAACATAACTTTTACTACACAATTCAGAAATTTAGATGCAAAAACCTTGTTTTGAGTCGTGAAAAATTTTACTTTGTGGAGAACCACCTTGATTCCTACAACTAATAAACCGAAGACGATGTCATTAAAGTGCTAGATTTTTTTATCCGCAGGATGCTTTTTGAGCTTGGTGTATTGATATTTTTACCAGACAGTCGGTATTCCAGTTTAAATTGTGCACCACTTATGGTGTATCTGTTGTTTATTTCATATTGAGAAGACTTCATTTAGAACCTTTTCAAAGACGAATGAAAAGGGAAGGCATCTTGTAACGTTCTTTAAAGTAACTTTCGGATATATTGATGATGTCCCGTCAATCAATAACCCTCATTCAAATGAATGCTTACATCTCAAATATCTGAGTGAACTTGATATCAGAAACACTCCCGAAAGAACAAATGTTTAATGTTTTTATCTTTTCCTAGATATTGATACAGCTAAACGACTTCCATCTAGAATATGTAACAAACGTGATGATTTCAATTTTCCAATTGTCACGTTCCAATTTCTCTGCAGTACCATTCCATTTGCTCCGTCGTATGCGTTTGCATATCTCAGTTAATACGTTACGCTCGTGCATGTTTACACTTTGCGGACTTCATTAACATAGGATGTGCTCCTTCTCAAACATATTATGAGAAGAAAATGACTTAAATCGATACTACAACAATTTTACGGTCACCGTCACAAATTGGTTTACCAAATAACAAGCGACATGTTAGTCTTAGATATTTAAATATAGTATATTTGCTTGTTTTGTTATCTAACTGATTGTCTCCAATCCAGATTGTGACAATTTGAATGCTATTTGCATATGAAAGAACTTCGTTGCGTCAACGTTTTCCCTACCTATACATGTGTAAATGGGCTCCTGAAGGGCAAAATTAGTATCTTCACTTTCCATTTATTTACACTAAAAGAATAAGTTAAAATTACAGCATTTAACATTGTCAACTCATATATAGAAATAACCGTTGATTGAGTGTTCTCAAAAATAAGAATGCTATTTACTTTTTGCCTTTGCAAACAAAAAGCAACACTAAATCAATTACAAAATAGTTGACTTAAATTATAACACATAAGAGTTACACTTCTCTGTATTCGAAGCAATATGTTTCAATATCATTTATAGACACTTAAAGGCGGTGTTTATTGCAATTAATAATAATATTAGTAATAATGATATAATGCTGATAATAATAAATTGGTGTTTAATACCCAGTGTCAAATATGACATGCATATCAGGATGAACAGATCAATGTGTCATGAATATAAACCCTGAATTGTACTAGACCGGCACGCTGAGCCAGGTCTTTAACATTTCACTTCAGAAAATAATAGTCCAAAGGAAGATTTGTCAACCTAAATTACCACTTTATAGTGACGTCGAACTGACCAGCCTTTGCACTTACTTATTAATATTGCGTACGTATCGTAGAAACAGCAAATTCAAATGTTAAAGTCTTTAATATGACTAAATCTGGATGAAATGTATAGCAACCTTCATCTCGTGCGTTAGGCAGACAAGCTCGGAAGAGATCATCTAGGCAGTTTTGTCAATAATATGTAAAGTCACCAAATTATACAACAAAACAAACAAAATAAATTGTAAAATGATTTTTTTTATTCATACATATTGTACTTAAAGCGCGGAAATTATTATGTAATCCTTGTAAACTCATCGAACCTTTAAACAAACTTATAAGTAAGGGTTATCGTACCAATGTTGTAATTAGATCTCTGAATATAGTTTACATTGGCACTAATATCGATTTTGTCATTAGCAAATTAAAACATAACTTAATTTGTATTTTCTTTTCAAACGGGATGTATAGAGACACACACACGTTAATTTTTATCTATAAAGAAGTCATTTTTGACTTTAATTATTTATCTCTCGTAATTTTTTATTAACTGTGTATTTGCATTCAGGTGTCACAGGTCAAATTTATTCGTTCGTTGTGTGTTAATTTACGTTTTTTGATTGAGTTAAGCCTTCCAATTGATATTTTATAGTGTGTTTTTCTATGTTGTGATGCTATACTATTGTTTCCGAAAAGGGAGAAGATTTGGTACCATTAAAGCGTTTAATCCCGATGCAAATGTTTGCACCTGTCCTAAGTCAGGAATCTGATTACAGTAGTTGTCGTCTGTGTAGTTCATACGTGTTTCTCGTTTTTATATAGATTACTCCGTTGGTTTTTCCGTTTAAATGGTTTTACACTAGTAATTTTTTGGGGCCCTTTATAGCTTGCTGTTCGGTGTGAGCCAATGCTCCGTGTTAAAGGCCGTACCTTGACCTATAATGGTTTACTTTTATACATTGTGACTTGGATGGAGAGTTGTCTCATTGGCATTCATACCACATCTTCCTATATCTATCATGTATATAACATTAAAATATTAATCTGATGTATCAAAATTCAATAGTTCATAATACAATGAATTAAAATGATAAAACCAATTCAGGTTTCCTAAGAGCTCTCATTTTCCGTTACCATCTTAGTTTTATGGGAATGTTTTATTTAAATTAACAACAAACCATCCATTTCTATGAATCTATGAAGAAGAAATCCCAAATTCAACATACGTTTTACAATATCTATCAATTATTAACTTTTGACGAGGTCAATACTATATATATGGACCTGTTCAGATTATATCGACCGATGACGAAGTCAGAGTATCAATTTAATCTAACAGTTCCATATGTAACGTATTGACTAAGTGAAAGTCCTGAATTTATATATTACGTATGTAAATAATGTATTAAGAAAATGTACTTCAATGTTCTTTCTGTGCATTTAAAAATTGTATTTTGCAAGATTTTTAACATGTCATTTAAAATATGAATATTCTTGATACAGCTTGATATGTTGGATTTCTTGTATTATTTGCGTCTGAATATAACATCAAATTATTGATATTTTCTTTATTCTGATAAACTTGCAAATGTTCTTTTCGGTGCTTCCTCCATGGTTGTTATGTATGACGTCATGACGTTTAGAAATTTCTGACCGGAACGGCTTCTAGATTTAGCAAGATTTTAATATTTACCTTTAATATACTTAAAAATAGAAACAAGGCTTCGGATACATAAAATAAGCTTTCAAACACGTGATCGTAATATCCAATGAAACTGGAGAATGCAACACCATATAAGTCTAACAAAAGCAACGGTCAACATTCATTGTACATGTACGATAAGTATAGCAACAATCAGCATTCAACATGTTCAAGGACAAATACGATAAGCAAGATGTTCATAACAGCATCCGATTTTTTACCTGAATTGCATCACGCGCCTGATAAAGCTAATTAGTTAGCGAAATATAGCGTGAATATATAAAATATAACAACTATTTCTATAACACAAATTAGCGTGTTATGTTTACATTCTCATGCATTCATATATATAAAACGTCTAGATATAAATCAACGATCTTTCTTACGAGGGCGCTGGATCGTTACGAGTAACGATACCTGTATACAATAAATGAATTATTTAAACACCTACAAAGTGTACAAACAATATCTATAAATACGCAGCCGCGGTAAATTACTTAACCTTTATAAAAACTAGAACTATCAATATGGTGTTTATTTAGAATGTGAAAATACTCAACCTCTGTTGTAATTACTTTAGAAATTACCTTGAAATTTGTGTATTATACCAGGTCAAATCGGTCAGTCCTACTCTTTGGGAATGTATCTCTATGCAGTCTTTGTTGTAATAACTCAACTTTCGTCACCTGTGAAATTATAGAAATGTACTAGTTTATAT